TTTCATGATATTGCATGTTCATGGATGTATGCGTAGGTGCTGTGGTGCCTGGATGTCAGCTTAGGGTTAAGGGTGTAACATTAACACAGTGTGGCACGGCTCTAGGCTGAATCTGGGTCAGGAGGGGCGCTGCCGCTCTCTCTCTTTCTCTGCACTGCAGCAGCCCAGCCCAGTACTGCAGAGCCCCGCCCCACCTCGCCTCAGCCATGTGACTCTGCTCTGCACTGTCTGCATGGTGGGGGGTTGGGGGAGTGAAGGGCGATCTCGTGCTCCACTGGCTGTGCTGTAGTATTCGTAGTAGAAGGGTGGGCACGTGGACACACACGTTGTTCTCCATGCTGAAGCATGCTAATCATGCTGCAGTGAACCAGACAGCATGCCTTCCACTGCGTCTACACCCAGAAACACTAAAGCCCTGCTCCACACGCCTCACACTGCTGACATATTTCTAACCAAGCTTTTGAGCACTTTCTGCTAATAGGATTGGGGGGGATTTTAAGAAAGACCCCCTCCTCATTGGTATCTCATCCCGGTAAGCATTTAGCAAGAAATGGTCTTAGTCTTTTGCCCTACTTACAACCTGCAAGATAAATGCACACTGGCCATGAGTGTTGCATACAGCAACATTATGTGCACTTTTGTGCATTCAGGTGTTTTTTTTTTTTCCTGCTTATGCAGCCTAATACTGAAAACTGTACAATTTAATACAAAAACATCAAATATATTTGTTCAGCATTTTAGCTCCAGACTCATTTGTCAAGTGTAGGACAGGTAGGAACTGCTATAAAAAGATCTTAAGAAACCATTAAATGCAAAGCTTTTACTTGTCATTTTTCTGTCACTACAGAAAGCGCTCCTCTTTTTCTTGTTTTGAAACCTGCGTCTCTTTCAAGTACAACAGTCATTATTCATTTATTCATGTTCTTTTAAGATGCTGAGCATTATCTTCTGTAGTCCTGCTCTGCTCCCATTGGCTGGTGGCTTGTTTTTGGTTTAGAGAGCCGATTTTGGCTCCATGGAAACAGCAGAAAGCTCTGAGCCAATCAGAGGGCAGGGTGGGCGAGTTGTAGTCAAATGAGCAGAAGCCCGGATTTGGCATGTAAAGCCAGCAGAGGGTTTTGGGGGGTCTGGGACACATACACACTAGAGCTTATTTGCTCCCTCTGGTTGCTTGAATATGCAACAACATGACGGCGCGAGTGCGCTGGGACTAGTGAGAGAACACACCTCCATACACACTCGCACCGCTGCGAGCAGCTTAGGTCAGTTGCACAAACCTACTTACCTACTTTTACTGCAGTTGCTCCATTTGTCTCAGTTGAACTTCCTCCTAAAGTGAGAGCTGGATCAAAATCTAATTTGCAGTTTTCCCTTTTATCTCAAATAGGGTTGATCAGCCAAGACAAGTTTGGTGTCTGAAGTTTCTTGCTGAAAAAAGATCATTAGAAACCATTAGGATTAAAACCTAATAGTTCAGCTTTCCTATGGGAATTGGCTTAATGGTTTCCTATTGAGACCACTAGTTTCCCATAGAATACCTTTAGATCCCATTAGGAAACCATCAAATGCATTTAGAATCAGCCATTGGTCACCCATTAAATCATTAGGATCATGATATCCTAATATCAACCCATTAACACTTAGCGGTTTCTATGGATTTTTTCAGCAGCGTTTGCTTTTTAGTTTTGCTCTGGAGCTACAGGCCAATCCCATTCGCTTTTGTTCATTTTAACCATGTTATAAAAATATCCGACATTTAATAATACATTTATTGTACCTAACATAGATGAGATTGTTGATGAGATTATTGAGAAGACTGATTGTTGAAACGTGACTGTTGAGCTGAACTGGTTGAACACGCTCTGCACTGCTGGCAGATATCATGCCTGTACGAAAAGCTGCCTATATGGTGCCATGTGTGCTTTAAGACATCATGAAACCTCAGTGTCAGGTTTGAGTGAATTGTGTCTTAGCTTTGGTACATCAGGCGTAACAGGTTGTTTCAAACTGCCTCATTCGAAATATTGCTTTAGAAGAGAAGGTATTAGGCTAAGCTAAGCTAAGCGGCCTCAGGTGGTAAACTCTGTGTGATATTCAGTTCAGATATTCAGTGAAGTCAGTTTTTCATTGCTAGCTTAATATAGCTTTGTAGCCACATCAAAGATGATGGTATACTACAACTGTAAATTTTACTAAATGTCTCTATTATTATATTCGTTTGTTTCACAAAGATTAACCTTCAACTCAGATGTTATCACTCTGTTTGCACCCATGTTCACTTCAGTCAGGAAGTACCTCAAAATTACCAGGAAAAAAAGCTTTTTTAAATTATTATTTTGTTGTTGCTGCTGTTGTCCAAACTAACCTTTATGGGGAAAAAAAAATGAGAGCAAAGGATAAACAGTAACCACCAAAGTCCACATCAAACCATCCTGACCACCCCCAAGACCCGGTTTAACACAGGTGTTTTTCCAAACAGTTATCCAAATAAGAAGACTGTTATGTTTTACTGCGTCATAAACACAAATACAAATAGGGATGTAATACTACATATTGTATTTGGCCAAACAATGTTGCTGTATTGTGGCTAACATGTTAGCATGTGGCTAGGGTGATAGCTTGGGGCTAACGTAGGGTGAACAGACAGCCCCGTTTTCCAGGGACAGTTCCCATTTTTGGTGGTCTGTCCCTAGCCGGAGCTGTCCCTGGAAACGTCCCCATTTTCAATTGTGAATTAAAAACACACCGGAAAGTCCTAAAGGCTCAGTTATACTTTCACAGTGAAAGTGTTGCCCAAAAATATTTAATATGAATTATGGGCTCATATACAACCACTGAATCGTTTGTGGTAAATGTATTCCTGCCTCATCCCTGCCTGAGCCCATACACTTTGACTTTTGAGAAAAAGTCTTGCGAGAGGGAAAGCAAAAAATAGAAATCTTTTATAGGACTAGCGTAATTTATTCCCATGCTTGCTGCTCAGAGTAACGTTAACGTCAGTCTCAGTCAGCAGCTCCTCTGGCAGCAGTGTCTTTCTCTCTCTCTCTCCTCACACCGTGTACACACAGGCAGCAGTGAGTTAATATAGTTACGGGGAACAGCAGCAATGACTGTGTGGCGTGGTGCTGAAATCTATTCAACCATTGTAGTTTTACCATTTTCTTTATTGAGTGTTCCATAGTTTGCCATAGCTTCACTCTGCATGATTTTCTGACACAGTTTGCTAAGTTAATTAGTTAGTACCCAATCTTATCAGTCGGCATTGACACTAGTTTATCATAGTACAACAGTCACCATCGTCAAAATACATGAAACTGGACTTGTCCCCTCTTTTTTATATCATAGATAAAACGCTGGATATTTTAATGATATATTGACCGCTGAAATGAAAATGTCCGGGATTTGGCTAACGCTAGGCTGATGTATTAATTTGTGGGTAGGTTGCTATAAAGCACAGCTTTTATTTTAAATATTGTACTTTCTATGATGTTAAGTGATGGAATACATTGAAAATGGAAAAATATAACATTAATTTAAGGCACTCCTTATTTTTGCTACCTCGAAAAAAATTTGGTTCGTTACACCCATATAAGTAAGTATCTTGATACAGTTTGAAGCAAGTGTGTGATGCTTTTTGGTTTATAGTTTGCACCATGCTAATGGGTGGGGTGCCAGCTTCATTTACTTGTTAGCTACATTTGCCTCTTGGCTCCAGCACAAAAGTAAAGAAGCAGACTTCAGACACCAATCATGTCTTGGCTGGTCACTACATTTGTAGTTAGAGGGGAAGTACTGTAAATTAGATTTTTAATAAAACTATCTAAATACAGCTAAAAGGCATATTTCTTAGAAGAGCTTTGGCCACACCCCTGTCTCTGTTTTCACTTGAGGTCAGATACTGCAGAGTAGCCTCCCTTTTGTGGGTGTTTTCAAGCCATTTGTATCATAACCACTGTTAAAGGAGGTTGATTCACTGACCAGGAATGTACAGGAAAGGTGAGCAATTCCTGAAAGAGGAAGAGTCACTTCAGAGCGCTCCAGGAAAAGTGCAGGGCTAGAGTACAAGGGGACAGAATAGTACCCCAGGGCAATCCACCCATGACCAAATAAACCTTCATTATCACAAGTCAAGCAATAGCCACCTGTTTACCATCATGAAGGGTAAAAGAGATCGGGCAGTCAGTTGATTAGACAGTGGGCGATTGTAGTGCAGGGCTATCCAGCTGTTTTCCTGTTGTCTTAGTGCAGCATTGTTTGGTGATTTACCTGCACAAATCACTTCTTTAACCCAGGAGTTAGTTACTATGTTTAACTGTTGTATTTAAGCAGAAAAGTTCACCAAACTGTACTGGACAGCAGCTGGACACTCAAGCTGCAGCTGTTTGATGAAGAAGCTGATGCTGCAATGAATCCCACTCCCTCTCTCTGCCCTGAACAGAAACATCTTCTGTTTGATTCCCCACAGTATGTTAAATTTAGCAAATAAACTGTAACTATGCCTCATACAGACGTCCAAATTGTGCATTAAAATGTGTTCTCTGTAGATGATGTGTTAACTTTACTTCGCAAATCAATCCTGTAACCTGACTGGGGCACCCAAACTTTCGCATATGACTGTCTGTTCTCATTTGTTGCCCTGTATTGTGCCTCATAGCTTCACACTCCATGGTAGGCTACTGTATGATAGCCTACCATGCATTCAAAAAGCAGTCCTGGCTGAAAGATTCCTTATAATCTCAGCATCAATGTGTGGAACTAAACTGCTGTAGGCTGAAAAGGTGGATATATGTAAATTAAATAGGATAGTTGTGACATCACAAAAACAGTGAATTTAAAACAGGCTGGTTTTGCAGCTTAGTTTTGATACATGGACTCTGTGGTGAAGTGAATGGTACAATGTTTATACACTACATCAAACTCTTCAAAAAGTTAGGTCTTCCATCATAAAGGCCCTTTAAATGCTCAGCTGATGCATCACTGCTGCATTTTCCTCTCATCAGGTTTCTGATTGGACGGCATGGGGAATCTGATCAAAGTTCTAACGAGAGACATCGACAACAATGCTGGGAACTTTTTCCTGGACTTTGAAAGTAAGTGTATATGCATCCAGCACCTCTGTACTACATACACAGTTACTTTGTGGTTGTAAGGGTTATTAATGGAGCGCCAATTCTCTTTCTTTGGCCTCATGCAGATGCCCAACCCACAGAGGCGGAGAGGCAGCTGTGGGAACAGGTCAGCAAGGTTCTGGAGGAGGCAATGAGCATCTTACAAGACTTGCAGTCTTACAGTGGAGCAGGAGAAGCCATCAGACAGGTGAATGCTCTATATAGCCTGCTGTGAAACCCATACAGGATCCTGTCTGTTATGTTTAGGTGAGACTGTCTGGTTTGGAACACAGTTCATAAACTTGTATATGGACCCAAAAAGGCAGGGATAATTGTAAAAAAACACCTCTTTTTTTCTTACAGTTTGAACAACTTCTGGCAGGTCCCAGCGGATACCAGAATATTAAGAGGTGGTCATTTGTCGTAGATGCAGTCGTAATCTCCTACATATGGCAGGGCATGTATGTTGTTTGTACATGTGCCCTTAGCAGTTGTTGTTATACTGCTTGTTTTAGGGGTGGGCAATATGACCATATTTGATCATTATCATGATAAATTATGTCACAATACACTTTACGATAGTTCTTTTTATTGTTCTCATCAATACTTAAAGAATAATAACTCCGTTTCATTACAAAGTGAGCATAATTAGGCCTGTTCAGCTGTGCACCGCAGTTTGTGAAATATCGAATAAAATCATTATAATTGTAGGGGTATCTTTATCATTAGTATTATTATTATTATTATTATTATTAGTAGTAGTAGTAGTAGTAGTAGTAGATATTGTGATGCATATATCTACTACTACTACTACTACTGTTAAAGGAGGCCATGGGTAGCCAGAGTTCCTCATATCATCGTTTCCTATCAATTTTGCATAGGACTGCTCCAGCCATTTGTGGTCAGCAGTCCAAGAGAGCATAACTGACATTACTCTCTTAGCATGGGTAGGATGGCCCCCCTCTCTCCTTAATCACTCAGTACAGCACTAGCCAATGTCTGTTAGCTGCCGTAACAGTAGTTAGCTGACATAAAAGTAGTTGCTGCTGAAGTAACAGCAGATATGATGTAACGGTAGCTAGTTGAGTGTTTTGCTGACATAACAGTAGTTATTTGATCTAACAGCAGCTGGCAGACATCACAGCAGCTAGCTGACATAACAGTTTCATTCTCTTCCAAGTACATTGAGCTATCTAGTGGTGACGTGTTAAAAAAAAAACAAGGTGCTTTATATGTTTTTGGGAAAGCATGTTTGTTTCCTGTAGAGGATGTCTTAACTTATTTTTTACTTAGAAAATCAACCACAAACTAAAATTACAGCAAACAAATGTAATTTGACCAGGAGTGTTCAAACATTTGCATATGACTGTATGCAAAGCCATTGGGCATTTGTTAAATTTTGTTACTATAATAAATTCTTATCTGATGAGACAGACATGAGAGGGCCATTAAAGCTGTTCTTACTGAAATTGCGTCCAACTTTCCAACACTGGAGCAACTTTTTTTTCCACACTTTCTCTGAGGTTTACTGGTATCTATTCACAGTCAAGCAGGAGCCTGTGAAAACTCCCACTCCACTACACAGATGCATTAGCACAAATTTCTGTGGAAAACTAGTTCAGTGTCCAGTTAAGAACAATTAATATACATTTACTGCTTTTTTGTAGAACTGATTTTTCAGAATTCATGAAGGTATTTTACAAAATGATGTGCTTTGTATAATGATTTACTGATGATGATTAGCGTCTGCATAGTGGCTTCTATTATGGTTCAGCTTTTTTCTACATACAGGGTAATGTGTTGACTAAATGATTGACTATGATAATCGACTGTACGCTACAGCTGTGGCAGTTACAGATTAGGCAGAAAATACTAGAGTCATCATGTAAACCAGCAGCTCTCAAGTTTAAGAGCTGCAGGGAGTTGCCAAGGGGCTGCAGATAAAAAAGTTGGATGTCTAGTTTAGTTTGGTCAGTTTATTAGATCTGCTTCTACTAAATCTAAGAAAGTGGTACTTGTTTAAAAGTAGATGTAATTAAACGGCATTAAAATGAAATACATGCCAATCAGTCACAATTTATGTACATACCATGCCCACTTTCTGTGCCCAGTTATCTGAAATGCCATGTCAAGAAAATTTGAGAACTGCTGACATAAATCATTTGTGTCAAGTGCACTGCTGGAGGGCCACATCACTGCAGGCTTTAGTGTTCTCTCTGCTGTAACACCTGAATCAACTGATTCATCCTGGGGTTGAGAGTGTCAGATCAGGGATCAGGGAAGCTCTGCAGCAACGAAGCTGTTATAGAGAGCAGCACTCTCTGTTCATGTGATCTTGTAGATACAGTGCTTTTAGGAAGCCTGTTCAGTTACATATTAGGTTTGAGCTGAAACACATGTTAAAGACACAGTGCTTCAATGATGGATGCTGTTTTGTCTGTCCAGGCCATCCAGCAGCCGAATGACGAGCGCGTGCAGGAGAAGGCCTGGAATGCTGTGGTCCCACTGGTGGGAAAGCTAAAGAAGTTTTATGAGTTCTCTCTAAAGCTGGGTATGGACTTTTCTCTTACACACACAGTGGCAATTCTACACCATCAGTCAAACGTCTTAACACACCTCACTGAATGTACACTTTTCATAGTATCATGGTACGTGTCCACTGCACGCAGTGCGGAATTCTCCCTCCACCTCCTTCGCTAGTGCCTCGCTGCTTGGGGGTGTGTCAGTCTATAATGCAGGCTGCAAATGAATCTGTTACTCAGTTTGGATTTCAGAAAAATTTCTTCTCAAGTAGTCTACACTAACTTATAAAGGTCAGAATAGTTCAGTATATGTTGACAGGCTATGGAGGCTAATTTGTATTAGCCTACTATAATTGTGATTCAGTGCTGTCTTTTGACTCTTCAGGACCACCAACAATGTCAATGACTGCCATACAGTATTTTATATCATTTTGTCTTTGTATTAGTTTTGGACTGTATAGAATGGGGAACCCAGATTTCCATGTCTTTCAGACAGAACCGTGTAGGCACGTCCTCTTTGTATGCTGCTTGCTATCCCACAATCCCTTACACATTTACTGCTACTGCTCATTGAAAATGAATGGGGGTGAAATATTTGCTCTAAATATTCATGCTTAGACCCTGACATTTGTTTCTAAGACAACCTAAACAGTAATGTTGATGCCTATTTTGTGCCCACTTTATTTCCAAAAAAAAATTATTTTAAATGCAACCCCTGCAAATAGTTCTCAGCAGCTCACAAAGTCTCAGCATATGTGAAAAATTCAAACAACGTTACCAGTGCTGAAGCATCCCGAAGCACCCACCCGAAGGAGTTAACAGAAGAATCAAGAAAAGTTATGGCTGAGCAATCCCATTAATCAGCTAACTTAATTTAGCTAGAGTTCTCCAGATTGTCTTGTAAAGATCTAGTACAGTGGTCACCCACCCTCCACGTGGAGATATACTTTCCTCCAGAGTTTAATTCCAACCTGTATCCAACATGCTGCACCCACTTATGTAACACTGATGATAGGATTGACTGGATCAGATGCATTAGGCATCATTAATTAGTGTTGTAGTTTATTATGTGGCTCTCCTTCCCTATGTCTTGTTTTTTGGAGTATCAGAATTTCTGGAATTGGACAGCCCTGTCTAAAAGAGGTGGTCACTGCATAGTTACATAAGTGTTATTCCTTAGTTTCATATCTTTTTTTTTTTTTCTTTTTCTTCTTTTTTTCTTCTTCTTATTCATATTATAAAACATAGAAAATGAGTCAGTGTGTCCAAACTTTTGACTGGTACTGTATACATATTGCTGTTTTGCCTTGTGCTGTATATGAAAGGACTGCAGAATGGTGAAAATACATAAAATTGGTATAATTAGTAGCGATGGGGATATATTAGGATAACTTAAACTTTATTATCTGCTGAATGTCCCTGTAGTAAACGGAACAGTGTGTAAGTGATTTCTCTCAGGGACGCGTGGTCCACTAACCCACTTTGCATGTTTATTGGTTAGTTCAGTGGCTGAGGTGAGCTGCTCACAGTTCTGAGGCAGAGTTTTATATAGAGCTTGATTTGATGTGATGGGCAGTGACGTGAGAGCTGATCTCTGCTGCTGAGTGATTCATCTGCATCTGATCAAGGTGCATTAGTGGAACTCTAGCATCAGCACCCAGCTAAAGAGGAGTTATATAATCTTAGTCAGCCTCCACTTTATCCCTCTTTCTCTTTCTGTGTATGTGTCTCTCTATAGCCCTCCTTGGCACACCTTTCTCAGATTAGATAGTGTAGCCATTTCCTCTGTTCTTTCTTCTCATTTATTTACTTTTGCATTATCACACTCACATTTATATTAATGACTTCAAGTACTTTAATTGAATATTAAAAGGAGTTCAAAGGGGCCGAGATGCATGCGTGGTGATATGTGCAGAGCTGGGCTGTAGTGGACATACGTTGTGGTGCGGTTAATGCCATTGAGATTATGATGTTAATATCATGTTCACGTTATTAGGCAGTGCGTGTGTGTGGGGGAAGCAGCCTTGAGCCAAGCAGCAATCCATCGTAATTGGATTAACACGCTCCTCAGGCGAGGCAACCCTCCATTACCTCATCCACTGACACATCACCCTCATCAGTTCACTCTTTAAACCATACATGCTCCAGCTCTGCCTGTTGATTCATTTTGCAATAGTTTATTACAAGCCTAGCAGCAGGATTAATTAGGAAAGCATGCAAAAGAAATGACAGAGGTGGCACAACTGCCTTATTTGTTCAAGTGTAATTGATCATTACACAACTGCTGTCTTCAAGCTTTACAATTGCGCCACACTACAAAGCAAAGTAGCCTAGCTATATGACAGCCTACTAACCAAATTAAAAATATTAAACAGCAGCATATCAACAACACAAGTAAACAGTAAACCTTATGCCTCTAAACTGTATGAATATACAGGGATGAGTGAATTTCTACAGTTAAAGTCATTTAAAATCAGTGGTGACAGCAATTTAACCTATTTTGATTTTCTTTACTGTGATATCTTCCTCTCGTAATCGGTCTACAGAACCAGAAATGTTTTAAAATACTTGCTGTTAAGATAGCTACCCAGCTTGCTAGTGGATTCTGTTTAGGATATGAACCCATAACCTCCTCCCGTCAGAGGTATGGCTTCTACCAGTAAACCAAAGACTCTTGCGAGTGAGTTGTGTTTATTATTATTCTTTAAGATTCCAATTTTTGCAATGAAAATTAAACATAAACCCAACAGTATTGTCAAGAGCTGGATTTGACCCAAGAACCTTCTGACAAAGAATGCAAAATATCTTAGAATTGAGTCGCAGGACCTAACAATTGGATTTGTGTTTTTCAGATACCCAGTGCACATGAGAGACATACAGAAGATCAAGTCCAAAAATAAACTCAAGAACCTTCTGATTTCAGAGCCATGAAATCAGAAGGTTCTTTATTTATTATGTCTCTCAGATTCCCCACCCTCCCCCTTCTCCAAACCGAAAAAACCTGACAAGCCGACAGAGAATTAAACTTTCAAGAAGCAAACGCTCAAAGTCACAGATGGGGACAAATTAACAACTCGCTTGCCTTTTGAGAAAGATATGAATGGAGTGTTTCTCTTGTTCAGAAGCATCTTAAACCAGGATCAGTTGTGGGAGGGAGAATTGAGTGGCTGTGATTGATCAGAAAACACCATGTACAAGGTAGATGCTTTAAATTAGGGAAAATTATGAAAAAGGGGAGCTTATCTGGGATTCCACCCCCAATGGAACATAATATAAAAGGCTATTCTGCATAAGACCTGTTAATTTGTTTGTTTTCTGTAAGATTACAGTTCAGCTGGATCTGTTAGTAAACAGAACCAGCTGAGCTGTTATCTTACAGAAAACCTCAGAGAACCTCTGCTCAGCAGTTCAGGTCACAGAACTGCTGAATCACACAGCCACTCAGAGACTAGAGAGGTTAACTGTGGCCAAGAAGACACTTAAGGACTCCATTACAACTTTGAACAGATACTAACAGTGTGAATGCATTTCCTGTTTCAAGAATATCTATGGTGAAATGTGTTAAAATTTCACAAGAATTGGGTGAGCTGTTCCAGTATTTCACCAGACTCTTTATAAAGCACTTTGAATGAATTCTGAACACACAATAGTGATTGAAAGGTCTAAACGACTTTCTCAGCTTGATAATTCACATTATGCCCATGAATGTTGTTCGAAGAGTAGGCCACCTTGCAGCTGTGGAGACCCAAGATGAGGGCATTGCGCATGTCCCCCCAGTGTTGGGCCTGGTTTATTATTCCTTGAATAACTAAAAGAGATGTCATTTAATATATCCTGTATATGCTACATTTGGTCTTTGTGTGTTGCAGCGTCAATGTGGAAAATCACATATTCTGGGAAATTGTGTTCTCTAAGCTACAGTCCTAAACTAATTAGTTCTTTTCTGTCCTGTATTGATCAGACAAATAGGGTTCTGTTAGCCCCTTTTCTGTATGTTGTCATCTATGATTAGCTCTAATGACTTTAAAAATAACTGATTATTTAACCCTTATTGGTCAGAGAGGCATTACAGATCCTGGTTTGTTTGTTATGTCGGCCTGTAGGCTGGAGTGATTCATATGAGTGAAACGGGCCTTACATGTAGAGAAGTAGGTCATGACCCAATTAACTGTGACACGTCTTCTAATCTCACATAATCACCAGCCAATCAGAGTGCTCTCCGGAGAAGAGGCAGGGCAGAGGCTTCAAAGACCCAGGCTAACTTCACATCTCCCTGCTGGGTGCCAAGATTTGTGTTCTTCTGCCAGAAATTAGACTAGATGGTGAAAAATGCAAGTGGATGCGATCTGAATAGAAGAGTCCTTGTGGCTCCCCTGTGTTCTGGTACACTAAAGAGGCAGCCGGAGAATTTTGCCCTCTTGCTGCTTATTATTTAGCTTATCTGAGTGAATAGAGCACTACCACATTATAGGTCAATCTGCTGGTCTTCTATTGAAATAGAAATTTTAAGGACAACCTTAGTAGGGACAACATTCATTTGGATTCTATTGCTGTTTTTTTTTTATCCTTTCCTTTATTGCTCCAATCAGCACATGTGTCTATTCTCCATTTATAATACTGACTGATCTGTCAGTTCATCCATCAGTGCTTATAAATATTATTGATTTATAGTATTGATTGATCCATCTGTTTCTCTATCTGTGTATCTATCTATTACATTACTTGCTGAACAGAATCACCATAACCTTCTCTCTTCTCTCTTGTAGAGGGCACACTGCACGGCCTACTGGGGTTCCTAACGAGTGCTCGCTGTAGCCCCACGCAGCACCTGGAGCAGGAGCAGGCTCTGGCACGGCAGTTCGCTGAGATCCTGCACTTCACACTGCGCTTCGATGAGCTCAAGGTACATGTGGTGCAGCTTTGGTTCTTGCTCTCCGCCCAAGGTTCTTGGGTTCTTGCTCTCCTCCTTCGTTCTCTCTTCATCAGTTGTCTAATCTAGTATGAGTATAACAATACAAATATTTTTAGATTCCATATAATTTTTAGTTCTGAGATCAAGATTCAGTTTGATTTGTGATGTTTTATGCATGTGTGAAAAATGTTTTGAGCTCTATTTGTAAACTACATAGATATACTGGCTCACATAAATAAAAGTTCTCAACTAGTACTTTTTCCAACAGCTGAAGTACTTCTAACAAAATAAACCTCCAAAAATCACCCCTAATATTTATAAGCAACTTGTGGAAAAGGCCCAGACCTTTGGCTGTGGATGCGTGTATAGCTCTGCCCACTTATCTCCCCCCACTTTACTCTGATAGCGATCGTTCTACAGAATTAGTTCATTTTTTTTTATTATTATTATTATTAAAGTTACTAGAATTATCTTATGAATTATTTAAAGCCAAGGCATTAATTGAGATTTTGAAGTAAATGTGTCCCAAAATTGGAAAATCATTATGTAACATTACAAATTGTCACTACAGAAACACATTTTCTGCAATTAAGTAAACTTTTGGTGTTTTAATGAAAAATATTGTATGTAAAAAATATGTTTTTATGAGTGTACAACTATTCAAAGCTGTTTGCGCTAGTCATGTACTGGCTAGTATTTTTTAGTTATGTTCAAATTTATCAAAAAATGTCACTACCACAACATTTAGTGAAGTTAATACAATAAATGTAATGAAGGTATAGAGTCACTTAAAGGATTTTAGGCTGAGAAAGAGTGAGCCAGCTAGAGAAAGCTAGTGGTGAATTACAGAGCAGAGAGATGGAAGATGAATGTAGTGGGATGAAGAAAGCAGCAGGGTGAGCGAGAGGAGATGGATAAGAGAGGGGAAGAGGCGGGGGAAATGAAAGTATGAAAGAGAATGGGAGAGGATCCCATAGCGCTCCACCAGCAGAGACATCTGCTCAGGAACACAAAGCAGAAGCCTGAGCAGTAGCTCTGTCTCTTTTCCTTCAGGGAATGCTGTCTTGTTAGCAAGACTTCTGGAAATGCATGCTGAGGTGCTCACTTCTTCTTTTACACTTTACACTCATACCTCTCTGGTCCTGAATATAAGAGAGACTGTATAGATGAGACTATCTGAAAAATTGTACATTGCACAAGGCTTGGAATCAGTGCTGCTTATCAATATTTTTATTATAAGGGATGCAGGATGATGGAAGAATCTTATCAGTGACTGCGGATATTTACTGTACTTCAGAGAGTAGAACGTTTAGGTGACACTAGGTTACTACATATTTTTCATTTTACTGCATTTTTAACCCTCTACAATAAATGTAATGTTTCATCATGGTACTAATCCAAGTAGACCTAGCCCCAATTTCTACATCTGTAGAACGTCTGGGCACAGCTGGGCAAATGTTTTGTTACTGTGTGAATAAGTGAGTAGAAGATGAACTGATTTCCAAAAGGCATAAAGTTAAAGATTAACTATTCTCTTCAAAATTTTAAGCAAGGTTAGTTCATTATCTTTGTTTTAGACTGATTAGGGCTATGGCTTGGTCACAATCATCTTTAGGGAAAAAAAAAAAAGTTCAGGTCTGGAAGATCAAGAAAACTTTCAGGGAGATCATATGCAGTCATTGACCACATATTCCCATATTGATGCATCCCTACTCATTATGACTATATTTTTAACTCAACAGTGTAATAAATAATAAAACCAGCACCAAATTGTGGGGTGATTGTAGCCCAGATCAGAGAAAACAGCGCTTAACATAACACCCCATTTAGGGAAGTCAGCTTTGGACATACTGCATTTACATTGACATTTATAGCATTAAGCAGATGGTCTTATACAGAGTGACGAATAGTGCTTTGTTGTCCCTTAGACAGTAAACTAGGCTAGAGTTCAAACATACCCTTAAGCTAAGACAATTGCAGAAAAAGGAGACTGTATTAAAACCTAGAAAAACACAATACGCAAAGATAAGACATTTTAATGAGTGCAATTATAAGCATTACTAAAACGTAAGCCCTCCTATAACAAGAGCAAGATTAGTGTTCATTTAAATGTGTCTGAGAGGTCTTTCAGTCTGTGTTTACATTACTGTAATACTGAATTACTGTAATGATCTATTCCTGCGAGATTACATCAGAGTATGTCTGAATAGGAAGCCTCTTTGTAGGCATGCAATTTGGTTATGTAAATTCATTAAAGAGAACAGAAAGCATGTGTGTTCATGCTTTATATCGTTCCTCAAAAGCTGACATCCTCTATTAACCTAATAACATGGAGAAGGTGAACATACGTGCTCTCTGTTCTCTCCTGCACTGGCAGTATATTTTGGTAAATATGGGCCAACTAGCAATGGATGAAACCTTACGTTCATCTGATTTAGTAATTGCTCACTTTAATTCATACATTTGTAAAGTAGTGTGAATTTTTAAAAATATATTGCTCATTGTGTTCTAATACAGTCATAAATGCATGTAAGTGCAGAGTGACTATTCGGTATAGAGTCAGTTTAGGCTTTGTTTAGGCACCGTTTTAATCTTTACCTGCATCTTTTCTCCCCAGATGACCAACCCAGCCATCCAGAATGACTTCAGCTACTATCGGAGGACGCTGAGCCGCATGCGAATCAACAACTTGGCAGTAAGTGCGGCCCTTTTCTCAGAGCGCTCTTCTGGAAAGTCACCTCATTATGGGAGGGCTTATGTTTTAGTAATGCTCCGTTCCCCAGGGTCAGGGAGGGTTAACGAGCGGCGCTCTGATCCGCTCTGCTCCGATCATTAGGAAACAGAGGTCCTGACTCAGGAAAACGCCGAATATTCTCTCATTTCCGCTCATTCCATCTATTTTCTTTTATCCATCTACAACACGCACACTGGCGCTTCTTTTTAGCTGACACAGGGCTGAGCTTGTGCGGAGGTGGATGAAAGCGAGCTAGTATGCTAATGGATTCACTCTCATTACTGTCCCAAACAGGAGATGAGACGAGGGGGGTGGGGTGTGCTTGACCTTGCCTCCCCAATTAAAAGCTCTCGCAGTCAGGAATAATTATCGCCACCCCCTCATCTAATGAAACGTGGGCTTTGGTGTTGTAACAGTGCGTACGGGCAGTTAGGACATGTCTGCATGTTGAGTGTGCATTAAAGAAGGATTTACATTCAATTTGCAGCCCAGAGTAATGAATAGAACACTTCAGGTCAGCTGAATGTGCTTTTTCAGCACACACAGAGTACTGACTGCCCTCTAGCCTTGGGTCCATTTGCATGATTAAGTGCATGGGACATTTTTTTAAGCCATATTTTTTGATACATTCAGATTTTCCAGCCAATTTAGCAACTGCATACTCTTTTCTCTCCCACTATCACACACTACTTTTGATGCATATACAGCCTGACTCTGCATCTTTTTAAACAACAGGCCAATTAAATGTTTAATGCATAACCTAAGTAGCTGCTACAGTGATGCTAATTTTAATGTTTGATGACATAGGCTATGCAGATAAAGATGCTTTCAGTGCATTGTAGATACATAACTGCTTTGTTTTGTGCCTATAGACAGAGGAGGAGAATGAGGTGAACAACGAACTGGCCAATCGCATGTCTCTCTTCTATGCCAATGCCACACCCATGCTGAAAACATTAAGTGATGCCACAACGAAGTTTGTATCAGATGTTAGTACTCAGGATTTCTTAACATTAATATTTTGTGACATATTCAAGTCTGTGTCTAAAGAGCCTGCTGATAACCATTTTTCTATTTTTGACAGAATTCAGATTTACCCATAGAGAACACAACAGACTGTTTGAGCACAATGGCCAGTGTGTGTAAAGTCATGCTAGAGACACCGTAAGTTAATAGTTAATAAAAGTCTTCTTCTATTAGTCTTTTGTCTGTTTTCAACCATAGTAATTTGCTCTGTGTGCATGTGAGATCAGGGAGTACCGTAGCCGTTTTGCCAGCGATGAGACAGTGTTATTCTGCCTGCGTGTGATGGTGGGAGTCATCATCCTCTATGACTACGTCCATCCTGCTGGAGCTTTTGTCAAGTCCTCAAAAATCGATGTGAGCACTCTTTACAGTAATTCTGTACACAGCTATATTCATGCAATCATATATATATATATATATATATATATATATATATATAATATATATATATATATATATATATATATATATATAAATAAATAAAAATAATATTATCTTTCCCTTTTTGATAGATGAAAGGATGCATTAAGGTTCTTCGGGATGAGCCGCCCAACAGGGTAGAGGGTCTCCTCAATGCGCTCAGGTCTGTGACTTCCCCCACTGTAAAACTTCTGAAGTGTTTGACACTAAAGCACTATTCAAGCTGGACTAGTTTAACCAGTGGAGGCATTAACCAGTGTAATGTAATTTGTAATGGAACCGACTGGCTGTATAAGTTGACATATATGGGTACTTTCTCCAAACTACCACAGATTACCCATATTTAAAAGGTCTTAGTTTGGATGTTCATATCAACAGTACACAAGTGGCAGCACACGTAATAACAGTAAAAACATGAAGTGCAGAAAGTGGAATGGAAGTGAAAAAGCACAAATGTTGTAGCTCACATTTAGAGGAATTTTGTCAAATTGTGCTCCCTTTTAGCAGTGTACACCTTGTCTTCCAGCTGCCTAAAACAGTAAAACTAGTCCAGCTTGAATAGGGTTACACTTAGGCCTGTCACAAACATGAAATCCCAATTAAATGCCATCTAAATAACTGATTAAAAATTTAATGGTCTGCTCTTTACATGCAACTAATAAAGTACATGCCTAAAGTGGCTAAATAGGCTGATGTGCCGTCTGACACAGCATGAGCTCAAAAACTTACTGCTGCTGTCTAAAGATGCAGTAGCACCAGCAAGACTCATGACGTGTCTCAATAAATGTATTTTCTACTTTATTTTATTTCTACGCATTGGCCTCAATCCAAAGAATAAAAACCCAATTCACATCCAACAGTTTGTTGTGCCACAAGAATGATAAAAATGAAAGTATTTTCCACAATTGTTATATTTAACAGCCCAAATAATTGTGATCAGGTGATTATGTAATAATTGTGACAGGTCTATTTACACTTTGTACCATTACAGGTGTTGTTATGCTAATAAACACACATTTCCATGGATTCTATGCATCATTCCAAGATTATTCTGTTTATTGTTGTCTTTGATACAGGTACACAACAAAACATCTGAATGATGATACTACCTCCAAGCAAATCAAAAATATGTTACACGTCTGACATTGTCCATGAAAAGGTACTTTCTTGGAACACTGAGGATTGTGCCCCTCTTGTAATGAGACTGCTTCAACAGTGTGTTTAAAATGCAATGAGAATGGCCATGTATTGGGTGGCAGCTACTAGGAGACCCTGCTGTAAAGTTTGGAAGGTGTATGGTGGTTATCATCTTATTATTTTAGACTTGTAGTAATATGATTGAAAATGAATTCTGAAAAGGAGCTTATCTGCTGTGGTGTTTCTTTATTTTATTCCCCCTGTGTATTTTTTTAATAGTTGACTGAATACCAAGGCAGGATAAAACAGTTTTGTTTGTGTAATGTAGCTATCTGGTTTTTACTGATTGACATTATTTGCTGTGACTTTTGATAACTCTTTTGAACAAAATAAAGAAGCTGTCTATTTCAGTCTCTGTGGTCTGGTCTATTTTGCAGCTAGATTTTTTTTTTTTGCAGTACTTCATTTGGATATATTTGGTGGGATACAGATGTCTAACTAATCTTCAGCTGTTTACTATCAGATGAAATTATCCCCAAAGGAAAAATCTTTTACAGTTTTCATGGCTTTGAAAAATAATCTTTGTGTCTTTAGTAAGATATGTTGCAGAAAATGTCCTCCCACAAGCTTACGCAGGGCTTAAACTGCATCCTGTTTAAGGGTTCAGAAATGGTCACCTGATCACAATTATTTGAGCTGTTTATATAAGCATATAAACAGTTTAACATCACCCTCTTGGGTTTTTATGTAAATTATAAATATACATTATAACATTTAATGAAAATATGAGCAGAACGTGTTATTTAGATACCAGCTTGATAATTAGTCTTCTGGTTGTACTACATTAGCTGAGCTCCTCCACCTGAGAGTGAATAAAGTACTGGCGAATAGAAACACATTCCTACCCACAATGTTAAAAACAAATGATGTAGTAAAATAGCCCTAGGCAACACTATAAGATTACATGCATTCTGTTCATTAGGTCTCATACTAATAAGGAAATAATAGCACAACTGGTGGAGAGTGTGCATTTGTGGAATTCTACCAAGCAGACACAATATTTTGTGTTCTAAGAACATTTTATATAAAAAATCCATCAACTGTATATTGAGAAGAATTTTGGAATTCTCCTTTAACCTCTTCTAGATCACTGTACCAGTACTGGCACGTTTCCATTGAAGTGTTCACTTCCAGTTTTTACTACATCATTTTTATACAGTAAAATCATCCAGCAAATCAGATTCAATTTCCACAAACCATTCTATGATTCATTATTCACAGCAGTAATGATTGTCTCATTTGCAACATACGCACAGAATGAGCAAACGCTTGCAAATCTGTGAGTCTTTATATTCAAAGCCTTGCCTCTATCCACCGACACATCATAATCCAAAATGTGGTCTTGACAACATTTCAGAGATCAGTTTAAAGATCTATGAGTCAGGTGGAAATAAACTCCATTCTAGCCTCTGTTACTCTGTGTCAATAATTCTTTCAATTATTCTGATGGTTGGGGAAAAACCTTAGTGTTACCTTTCAAAAGAGACCAAGATCATGGCTGTAGCCCAAAGTATGTGGGAACAGTGCTGCCTTTACTTTGGGTTTCCCATATCAGGCAAAAATGGGGTGTTTCCATGTTCCAAGTTTTTTGCATTGAATGTCTATGCATCATCAATGGGGCATGCATGTAAAATTAGTTACAATTTTGTATGTTGACGCTCTCACAAAAGCCTGCTTTCAATAAAACAGTATGCTTCCTCATCGTTTGGTACTGCCATATTTGGGCCACAAAAGGCTGGTTCCAAACCCACATCCTTGTTACTAATGCAGCGTCTGGACTGCTCATCATGGACACTTTTTCTGATTCCCTATCTTTGAGTCAACACATGAGCCACTTTACTCTCATCCCCCTCTACTCTTACCGCAGCCATCTTTCCACTCCAAATGGGCAAAGAATCCAAGGGAAAGGGGAAAAACAGAGTTGGGAAAGCCTCCCAGTGCATTCTCACTCTCAGCTGGGCTGAGGGCAGGCCAACTTTCTCTCTCAGCCAGATGGAATGTAGCGTGCGTAGTTTGCTGCCTGTTGATCAGCTGACCATTCTGGAGAAATCACTGTGAGGGAGGAGAAAGGGCTTATGAGTTTCACATCATGCAGGCCACGGGGTGAGAGTTTACTGGCAAAGTACTTATACTACCCTGCCCCAAATGTTCCACTGACCTGTGGTTCTCCACCCTGCCTCCCAATCCTAACATCTGATCCCACCAAGAGCTACTACTTTTTTGCCAAACTATTCAAACGTTATTAAATAATAACAGTACTGTGCAAAAGTCAGAGACTACCTTTTCAGTGATTGTAGTACCAGTCAAAATGACCTTTAAGTACAAGTTATTTTTTCAATGTCAGAAAAAAGCAGAAAACATACATTTAACGGAACATTACACAGAAGCCTAAAAACTAAATAGAATAGCAAATGTATCAGTATTTAGTGTGACTTTGCCTTTGCTACAGCTTCTATTATTTTTGGCAGACTTGCTTTCAGTTTTTCCAAAGAAATCTGCAGGGATATTTTTCCACACCTCCAAAGTTCATTCTTAGAAGTTGGCTGCATTTCTTTTTCTCATAATCTAAGTAATCCCAATTACAAATTAGTTTACTGAGTCCATAAAACCGTACTCCACATCTCAGATGTCCAGTTTCAGTGTTCCAGTGCAATTTTTCTTCTTTTTTTTGTCTGTTTCTTGATCTCAGTAAGAGCTTCCTGACAGCTACACATCCTTTTAGACCCATAGCATTGAGTTGTCTTCTCGCAGTGGAAGGATAAACAGAAATATCTGTGGATTTTTTCAGATCTGAAGCAAGAATGGAGCTTTAAGTGCTGTTTATCTCATGGTGACAGTTTTGGTGGTCTACCAGGACTTGCACGGTTATAGAAGCCTCTATATCTTTTAATCATTGTTTAAATTCCAGTTTTAGAAACTTCTGTTTATTCGCTTATTTTCATTTGACTTTCCCCTTCTGTACGCAAGTGGATTATCTTATATCTAATCTTCTTAGAAATATCTCCTCTAGGCAATTTAGACACACATGAAATCTGTGGGACAGTTAAGGTGTGTTTGGGTAGTTGCTTGTGTGAATGTTAGAGTCTCTTTGAAGAATGTAATGTCATTGACTCCTTTGGGAACAGATTTTGTAACTCTTTGGTTTAAAGATTGAAAAGACAGAGAAGTTAAAGAGAGGACACAATAAATAGTGATAGATTTGATATTCTATTTTGTGTTGGAGGCTGTGTAATTTTCTGTTAAATATATGTTTTCTGACAGTGGAAAATGAATAACTTGTAAATAAAGGCCATTTTGCCAGGGAATGAAATAAACAAATTGGTGGTCTCTGACTTTTGCACAAAATATGAAGTTTTTCTGCAAAACAAGGCTGCACACAAAACTAACTTTTCATCTAAGTGAAATCATTACAAAATATCTCCTCTTACAACACAAACGTAAAATCTATTCAAAGTTATAATCCGAACTCTTACCAGTTCCAGTGAGCTATGAGTTAGAAGTAATGCTGAATTATACCATGCTTCTGTTATCACTGATGATAACTAAGGGTTAACATGCTTTTCCCGAGCCGAAGTGGGTGTATTAGAGCAGGGAAAACACTAAAACGCACAGGGCTACTCTAGGAAACAGTGATGTCAGTCTCTCTGGGAAAACTCTACTCCCACTCTGGGTGGACATTTACAGTTTTATCTGTTCTCTGTCTCCAACCTCTGCAGAGCTTCTGCTCACACACTTATTCAGCCTGCTTGGTGCTCCTACGCCACATCCTCCTGTGTGTCTGGTGGCCCTGTGGCTAGTGTCTGGGTTTTTGTCTGCAATGGCTGCTCCCACTTGCACTTCTCCTGGACAGAACGTGTGCTGTTTTCTTAATAGCCTTCCTGACAGGTTAAGACACTTTCCCCAGTGGTGGCTGGGATAGGGCCAAAACCCTGCCCATTCTCCTGGCCTGGTCTATATGCCCAAACAGCAGGAAGCACCAACAGTGACTTCCTGCCAGTACTGCTGTATGACCCGTAATACCGCAGCGGCATCTCTAAGGGTGGCTACTAAAAAGCAGACCAAACACCATATGGTGGCGGGATTAGCCACACTGCTCTTCGACGCCGCTGTCAGCACAAACAAACAAACAAAGTCACCAAGGACAAGTGCTCGTGGAAGAAGTGAGAACAACACTGAGGCAGGTTATGAAGAGGTCTCAGTGGAGAGGAACTAATCCCTTCCTGTGCATTACACCTCATACAACCAAACAGGACTGGGCTGCTTGACGGTATGCTAACAGCAGGTCATGGCCAACTACCAGGCTTGTCACAGCCCATATGAGAGCCATATTTTATGTAGGCTTTAGAAGATATTGCTCCAGGTGTGGGATATACTGGCGGCAATTTGTCAATGGCCCTATCAGTCAAAACGCAAGACGTTTCCACCAGAAGAAAGCAGAAACCATTTTGTTTTGCTGATTATGGCACAACTGGTACTGTTGTTGCAGTTTTCCTCCAACTCTCAGACTGAGTGAGGACATGACTTCTTCTTTCCATGAAAGGTCCTGACACATTAATCTAAATTGTAAAGATGAGTACTGGTCACAGAAATACCTTTCTGCCAAGAGATTCTGAGTGAATATTACTGCATGCAGCACTGGACTACCCTAATCCTACAACAGACATGGAAAGAGTGACTACAGCTCAGGCTGACTAATGCCATTTCAATGTTGAGGATTATGTGAGTCAGTCAGATTTGAGCCCACTGCCTGCCACAGTCAAGGCTGGTATATGCGAGCATTCTTGCACATCCTGTTGGATGAGGTTGGACGATCTTGGACGTTCCCCATATTTGCTGTTCTACACATAGAACCACTTCAGAGTCTTTTGTTGCCTTTGTGCATATGTAAAGCACAAGAATCTGGGGAAAGTGCAAGGCAGAAGCTGCAGATGGCAGCAGAGAGACAGAGAGGGTCATTTCATCTCCTTATGATCTTGCACTAGACGGACATCAAGGCACAAATGTAAAATACAGACAGCGAATAATATCCTTTCACGTTTGTGGTTTTTTAAACCAGACATTGTGGGCAACCTAAAGTAGTTTGTATTCTTATTTCAGCACAGATGATGGTAGCGTCACAAAACTTCTGAACTAAGTTTTAGCACAACCATATACAAAAGTAGTGAAAGAATCAATGGTATTCCCCTTTAATGTAAGGAAGTCTTGCGGTTCAGTGGTTGGCTGACAGACATGCTGCTTCCTGATGGGGACGTCTGCTCTTCTGTCTGTGGCTTCTATTCAAAAACCCATTCAACTGTGAGATGCATGTTCGTGCTTAATCTTGATGTCTGAAAACCAAGGGCGAAAATGTATCTTGACTAGCTGAAATACTTTTCCATTCTGAGGTAGTTGGTGTCGCTTTCAGCTCATATGCTTAAGATTATGCGCTCTGCCAGCGAAGGGACTTGCACAACGGGTGAAGCAGGCTGGTGGAGGTGTTTGGCCTGTAGATTTGTTGCAGTCCTGTGGCAGCGGCCCAGCTGTCAGTACGTAATCACATTACTGTAATTAGGCAGCGTACCGCTAATCCACTCCAGTCAAAACACAGGCCTGCGCCTGACTCACTCTGCTGCCTCAGCCCGTGCTCATCAATTAGGCATGGGCGCACAGACAGGAACCTGCGTGTAGACATATCAAGTGCAAGTGCCGTCTCTGGTCTAGTTTTGGTTGGAGTTTCAAGTTCCTCCAAAAAGCTTTGCAATTGCCTGTTTGGAACGAGAGGAGGAAGAAATACTTTCATGTCTTGTGCTGTGGGTTAACTTGGACTGGCATTTCAAACTGATTTCACATTGAGTACAAAGAGCACGTTGAACGTATTGTGCAATACAGATGTATTTATGTATCCCAGCATTGGTTAAAGTTCTGATCTCAGCACTTCAGTGTTTGAGCCTGTGTAGTATGTTAAAGTGTTTGTGAGTGAGACCTGTAGATGGAGTTGCAGCTCTAGCATTGACCTTGCCTATTAGAGGCCCCTTCAGAGTCGTTCTAAACTCAGGATGAACAATATATGGAGGGGAAAAGTCACATTGTAATATTTTAAGTTTTAGCAATAAATACTGCAATATTAAAAGTAGGAGTCAACAATTTACATGTAAACGATAACCTATGAACTTTTCCCAAACTGACCTAATTAGCAGTCGAGCAATCATTCCAGAAAGGCAGTGTTTAGAGGGGAAGTAACTTCAATTTAATACAACATGGTGGTGGTCTCGATACAGTATATATTTAGATACAGCAAAAATAAAGAGTGCCTGACTATGTGCCTTGTGTTCATATGGTAATGTTAATGGATTAGTGTTTAAACAGAACTTTTTCAATGCATGCTGCGTTGCCTTTTAATAAAACAAAAATCACAACTCCTACAATTTATAATTACTTAATAAAAAGCCCAGTCATTTTGGGAACGGGTGTGTGTATAACAAGCTGGACCCTCCCCCTCTCACCCACTTTACTCTGATAGGCTGCACCCAGATCCCTAGTTTTGATTGTGAAAAAGGTGTCCACAACAGACCAATAAGGGGCCAATGTTTCAAAGTTGATTTTTAAATACATATTAAATTCGTTACAAACTGCAATTATTTTGCTGCATATTTCTATTTGACAAACCTTCAAATATATCAAAAACACATTATCTAGAAAAAATCTAGATGTGACTTGGTTAAAGACTCGCCAGCATTACTTTTGAACAAAATGATTTATGTTTGTTGATTCACTCAAACAGCCAAAGGACACCTGTGATTTGACAGGATGCTCACAGCACACAATAAAACACTCAGTGATTGGTTCAAAGCTCGTTTGCATATTGCACACTTCGGCAATATCAGTACTGCAAAGGCCGATGTCATGACAACGAATAAGGAATGATATTCAGCTCTATTATAAACATACATTCTTTTTCCATTCTTTTCTATAAAAAAGACAAGGGAACAGCCTTCAATCAACAGCGCTGCTGCTATACACTATTATCTGAGGAAACGGCTGGCAGAGATACACAGACAAGGTTACAGCAGTAT